AGAAGAAGGAAATTATTTAATTAAATTCTAAAATCATCAAATGATGAATTATAATTTTGAAATTTTGTAATAAAAAGGCAATTATTTTCAAGAAACTTTTTAAAAATGAACAAGTTACCTAATAATGAATATATATATATTTTTAGATCGAATACATATTTTGTTTAATTAAACTTACAACTGTAGAATCAATACACAGGTGCTATATTTAAATACCTGCTATAATTACACTGAAATAATAACATTTCTATTTTTGGAACTATTTGAAAAATGTATGGCGAAAAATTCTAAATAAATGTGTTGCTAGGTAATGTTTCAGTTATTCTTTTATGTGTATGTATAATTGTATGTCCCTTTAAAAAAAAGAAAGAAAAATACAAAATGGCCAAACCTAGGAGATTGCCATCCTTTAACAGTCGGTGCATGACAATTTAATTCAGAAGCTGGATAATCTTCATCCTCTCCTGTTACTTGAACCACACTAAAATCAATTTTCTGTGGCATTATTAAACAATTCTTCGATAAACATTTCTAATGTAGAAAACGATGTTTACATCTTGCGAAACGACCACATGTTACAAATGTCGTCATAGTAACGCGCCTCGTTTTGATACGTCCAATTACAAGCGTTTCTGGTTACCACGTGACGAAAGAAATCCAATGGTAAAATGTTTGTTACTAAATCTAACGAAAAATCCCTATATTACAGGGGAAATTTATATATGTGTTATTTTAAAATTATAAATTATACAACATATACGAGAAATTGATTATAAATATTTCATTTTTAATACGAAAAATTATTTTTTAATAAAAATTTAAATTATAAACAAAATTGAATTATACAATATTTAGGGTAAAAGTTAGGGATATTCCTGAGCGTAAAATTCAAATTTAAAAATTTGATTTCTGTTTAGCCAGTAATCTCTTGTTGATTTTCTATGTTAGCATTTAGTTCATTTTTTATTGAAGTTTTATCCTCTGTAACGATCTCTGTAAGTTGAAATTGGTCGTAGTAAAATAATATACGCTTGTTTAATTTATATATTCCATTTTCTTAATTAAAACTTAGTGTGTGGGTATAAGTTACTTTTAGATAAATGGTATGTACACTGTATGTTAATAAATTAACTAAAAGTAACCTCTACTTGATTTTTTGCTGTTATGTATTAAATGGTGACTGATATTGCTAAATCTTTAAGTCTGTTGTATTTATAAACATTAAGAATACCTTAATTAATTATCTTACATCAAAATCTTTATTCTCTTTTAATAGTTAATCAACGTTTTCAACAAATTAAGTAAAAATACGTACTGATTTACTGTAAATTTGATTATAAATTTTTTACAATATTTAATGTTTCAGTTTTTAGCAGATTTATTACTTTCTGTATTAAATTATATATTAACAAATTTTTTTCTAATTTCATATGATTAACTGAAAGACTTGAATATTTTCTTATCCAGGTTGAAGTTTACCTTGGTAGTCCCAATGGCCATACTTCGGTTAGGTTAGTTTACATTTTTAGTGGATGTTTCCTTTTTTCTTTTTAGGTATTCCTTTCGTCTGTCTACTAAAAATGTAGTTAACCCAACCTAACCAAACCAACATAAGCTAACCGAAGCACGGCCATTGGGACTACCAAGGTAAACTTCAATCCTTATCCATATACATTTAACTTTTAATTTTAATTAATTGTATGGTACATACATTACCAAATTATGTTTTATTTCAGAGAAAATTCTATTTCTGAGCTGTTTCTGGAAAATCCTGGGGCGGTTTATTAGCTGTTATAATGCTTTGAAAATTATATATTTGCTCCATTTTATTTAAAATGAAAATAATTTTTCTGGATTAAATCTATATTTAAACTTTATTTTTAAACTCTATTTTTATCTTTACATATCAAAACTTTCAACTTTATGTTGGAAATTTTACTTTCAAATAATCACAAAATGTTTATTTGACCATATTTATGAACCTATATCATGGGTGCTGCATTATCTATATCATTATAATCTATGGCGTGCATTTCCAAAGTGGAATGTTGGGATAAATCATTTGGCATGTATGGCATGTAACGTATCCTATGAATTCAGTTTATCATCTTTCTTTTTCAATCAGCCTTTCAGTTTGTCACTTGATTATTTTTTTTTTCAATTAGCTTTTTTATGTTTGTTCTAATTAAAGAATATTTACTTCATTTCTTTTAATATTGTTTTTCAAGTTCTAAAATTTTGGTGAACACAAACGTTTTTAAAGATGCTTACTATGTGGCATGAGGATTCAAAAAAGTTTGCCATCCCTGCTATATGGGCTTATAAATATGGCTGAAAAACATTTTGTGATGATTATAAATAATTATATCTGACAAGGGCTCATAAATAGGGTCAAAAAATGTTTTATGACAATTGTAAATAAAAACACCTGATGAGTGTTCATAAATAGGACCAAAAAACATTTTGTGATAATTATAATAAAATTTCCACCATAAAGGTGGAAGTCTTGATACTTAGAGAGCTGGAGAAGAATGAATAAATTTTCTTTAAATATTTGATTATTTAAGGACATTTTAAGTTTGAAATTAAAATTCTCTATAAGATAATTAAATTAATATGCTCTAATTTCTTTTCTTCATACTTTAATGACTGAGGAAAGATTATAAAACAATTTTAACTTTCATATATATGTATTATGTGTGTTTAAGGAAGACTTTTAAACACAGATTATTGATAAAAATTATCCAGTGCTTTTGCTTCTTTGTGTATTAAATTGAGGAACAGTGGGATTTTGACACTGTTTTTTTTCTTTTATCAATGGGAGAATTGCTCATGAGCATTGACAAAACAACTAATTACTGCATCTTTAATGGTAGGATTTTAGAATGGTAACGTTTTGACTTTCAATTTTCAACCTGAGGACAGTCAGTTAACTGAGTCAAAAAATTAGTATTCTTCTAAAATTCTACTGTTAGAGGTGCAGTAATTAGTCCAATAAGTTACCACAATGACTAATATATCATCTTCATTTATAAAAGAAGAAAATTAAGTTGCAATGTCACTGCCATCAACGGAAATCCATCAGAAACATCCAGAACAGGACAACAGTTTGAAGAATGTATTTGCAAATGCTGATAATTAGCTCAAATAAAGTGAAAAAATATTTTGAAATGAAATCTCAGCTTGTACCATTTTAAATTAAAATTTTACAAAGTTAAATGTTTTTAAAATAAACTATGTTAACTTTTATTTTAGCCATTTAAACTTTGAATAATTTTGTAAATAGTAAACAAATGTAGGCCTGTTATTTATATTATATATATTTTATTTATGTATTACTATGTTGCGTCAAGCTTTTTTTTTTTCTTATTAAAGTCATTATTATTTTAAATAGATTTTTACATTTATATTGTATTTTTATACTGCTTACCTATTTTATTCATCCATTAAACTAACAAAATTGTTATCTATTGATCTGTCCCATCATTCTTACCAGATAAATTTTATATACACTTTCCAGGAAACAGAGTAAAATTTCAAAAAAGTTTTATCTTATTTCTCGTCGTAAATCATCATCCTTCGATTTTTATCTTGTATAGAATTTCATAGCACAAGTATTACATTTTATGATAAATTTGCATCATTGTAAAGATATATTGATCATTCATTTTTATATTATATATCTTACTTCTGATGTTTTTAGAATAGGGTGATATTGACCCCTGGTTTTCAGATTTCCAAGTAAAAAATTTTAATGACTTCTCTTAACACATTCTATGCATATTGTTTTAAGAAATAAAATAATTTTTAAATTCTAAAAATCTTGTATAAGAAATTTATACTTTTATATAGATAAGTCTATTAATGACATTTAAAAATTTTTATTTACTGAATTTCTTATCATTATAATTATTCTGTTTTTATTTTATTAAGAATTGAGCAATGGGAATTTTCAATAGCAAGGAATGGAATGATATGCTAGAAGTGACCAATTCAAATCCCTCTAATTCTACTGTCACACCTAACAAGTACTTCATTGGTATTGATCCACGTTCTCCATCTGAAGGATTTGACAGAACACCTATACAGGTATTTAAAATAAGAGGATTTTAATATTTGATTGACAAAAGCATTCTATCTTTATATTCAAATTATATCTACAAAGTTTAAGGTTGAAAGATGTCAAATTTTATTTTATTTTTTTCCTTATTGTGGATTACAAATAATATCAACATACAGCTCACATTATTACATATTCTTGTTTTCTATAATGGTTGAATGTGGTTAAAGTTTTTGAAAATATTTTTATATTTTTTATAAAAATAAGATCTATTAATGATAGAAAAAGTTAGATAACTTACATTATGACTGTGCAAAAACATATAGCATGATATATAATTACTTACAAAACTTTTATTATACCATCATATTCTAAGTCTGCTTCTTCTTTTATTGAAACATTATTTATGAAAAAATTTAACATTCAATGTTTGTTTTAACCCAAAGTTCACAGACCATGAACCATGTGGTCTGCAAACTAACCTAATCATTTTTCTAAAATGAATTCTATGCTGTTCAGCCAGAGAAAAGAACATTCTCACACATTTCAGTAGGCTCACCAACATCTGGCCCAATCAACCATACTATAAAGTTTTTATGTAAACAAAAAATATGAAATACAGTGGGTGATTGGTTAACGAACATGATCTGTTCCATGACTTTGTTCGTTAATCGATTATCAATTTACCATAGATTTTTATGGGAATTTGATTAATTCGTTCTGGAGACTCCAAAAAATAAAAAAATATATACTTTTTTTATTTTTTGGATACAGGTAACCCCCGTATAACACAGCACTTCTATAGCACAAATTCACTCTAACACGGTTTGAGAATTGGGACCATCNTTAAAACTTTTGTATCCTAGAAATTTATGACAACTATACATAAGTAAATTATCATCAATCAATGTTATAAAAATTATAAGAAAAATGATCTCACCTGGTTGCACAGATTTAACCTATTTACATAATTCTGATATAAAACGAATTTGATAAAAGTTCCTGGCACATCAACAATAACTGATTTTAATTCTCTAGCCTTATAATCAGTAATTGAATTATCCAATAAAGCAAATTCACTGAAATGTTTTTTTTTTCATTAATAGAACTATTCAATTATTTATGTATTTTAAAAATTATGAAATTTCATTACCCAAGATATCTCCATTTTACATTTGTAGGTGCCTCAGGCATTCCTTTTGAAACATCTCCTGCACTTAATTCTATTTTGCTAGCTAATTTATAAAATCCAAATAAATTATTATCAAAACAGAATAAGGATTAAAAATAGATATAAATTGTCATTATTTTTAAAATTAGTAAGAAATATATAATTTAATTATAGATTCTGAACATATAAGATTTATAATTATGAGTACAGAATTCAAAACACTATATGGGAGACTGGAAAGACTCCAACTGTTAAAATATACCCACCGAGGAGTCTTAATTAATTTCGAATATTTATAATATTTATACAATAATATTTAAGGTGAAAATTTCTGACTAATATTTCCAGATTGGAAATGTTAGTTAGAAATCTTCAAATCAAAATATTCCAAAATGCAAGAACAATGTTCTATTTTGGAATATTCTGATCAGATCTCCATTTGCACATCAAAAACATTAGTAGGAATTTTTTACATTAAATATTACTGAAAATTAATTAAGTATTCTTGGTAGATGTATTTTATGAGCATGGAAATTATTTATTTTGAATACAGATAGCTTAATTATATTAATTATAGAAGAATTTAAATGTAACAATACAATTAATTTTAATTAATACATATTTTCAAAATCATATGTTAAAATTAATTCAATTATTTTATATATTAAAAACATATATCTGAAATAACAATCAAAACAATTAATTAATAAAGCAGACAAAATAATTAAAGATATGTTTTATTTCACTTATTACATTAAAAACTATTTAAATATATACATATTTATATGTGATGATATTACATTATTGAATTACTTTTACAGTAAATTGTTTCTTAAAAAAATAATTAGTAGCATGAATTACTTTTCTGATAATTTTAAAGGCTTAAATCCTATAAATTTCTAATGATCTATATCCCAGCATTCTAATTATCTTTTCATGTACTGCTTAATTATTACTATTATTTTAACAATAACACACCATCAACTACAGTAAATAATTGGGCTGTAATTTGGCAATAATAATAGTAAATTACAAATAAATTTGGCCCTAGAGGGAAGCACTAGGTATTAAATTTAATAATTATAATTTAATTAAATAATTTTAGACTAAACTGGAAAAAATAACTGGCCCAAAATGGGACTCGAACCTGCAACTGTTACTTACTGTGAAGATGCATTGCCAGTTATGCTACCCAGACCTCCAGTCCAATCTCTTCTTCCAGTATATTTAACATTAAGATATAACCATCATCAGTTACTACAGTGCCGACTGGGGACACATTCAGCGCCCTTGTCCTGTAAAGTTTAGTCTAAAATTATTTAATTAAATTATAATTATTGAATTTAATACGAGATGGCACGCAATGCCTCCCTCTAGGGCCAAATTTATTTGTAATTTATTATTATTATTGCCAAATTATAGCCCAATGATTTACGAGAGCTGATGATGTGTTATCACAATATATCAGGTTTAGTAAAGTTGTTTATATTATTTTAACTCCAAATACTTTTATTGGAGTAAAATCAAATGAATTGTATAAACACTTGAGCTGATGTTACTGAAAATAGAAAGCTCTAATGAGATGAAATAAAAAAACAAATTATAAAAGTCTTTAAGCAAATGTTTTCACTTAACCAAGGTTCTTCACAAGGAGGAACAAAGATTCAAAATAGAATATATTTTAAATAAATTAAGTTTTTAAAAAGTGTAAAAGAGTGTAAAAGATTATTTTATCTTTTACAATGGTAAACAATAAACAAAATAAATAAACAAGAAAATGTTATGTGAGAGGAAAAAAAAAAAATGTTTTCAAATATCACTGTTTGCCAATGTTAATCTTACAATATGGCTAATAACATAAAAATACAAAAAGTAATTTTGTTTTTAATGTTCTAATATTTTAAAAAACTATTCTTTAATGTAAAGATGAAGTTGCAGATACCATATAGATTTTTGTGTTGCTTTTTGTATTTATTACTTCACTTCTATAGTAACCGAATTGTATAACTGACAATGAACAGTCTATGTTTGCAAAAGTAGTAAAATGTTAAGAATTGTTGAATTTTATGTTTTTAATCCATAAAAATATTATTATTTTGAGTGATTATCATCTATATAAATTGCATAATTTTACAAATGATTTATTTAAAGACTATAATTATTTTAAAATTATATATCTATGCAAATTATGCAAACAATTCCTAAGTAAAATTTATTGTAAAGAATGAACATGAAAAGCATTTGTGACCATTTTCACAGTATATGAAGACTACAAAGAAATGTCTTAAAACTTTTGTATCCTAGAAATTTATGACAACAAATAATTTTCCTTACTTTTAAAAAATTACAATAATTCTAAAATCAAAAGAATAAATAAAATCTATCTCATAAATCAAGTAAGACAATTAATCTTAAAAAATGATAATTTTCCATTATCATAACTTTCCTGCAAGATAGATGTCTTATAGGTGAGTTGACATTTAAGTTATTTTTCTTGCAAGAAGGTTATCATTGTGAAACTGTATCAAGTTTTTTGATTGATTATCTCATTTAATTTATGAAATGTGGATATCATTATTCTTTATCATTTCTCTTATTTCATCATGAAAAAGATGCTTTCCTATTGATTTTTGTAAATTTGATCATATGAATTTTTAAAAAGTCAGAAAAATTATCTATGAAAAATCAGTTATTCTTCATTTAAATTTGAAATTATAAAAATGTATCCTACATTTTATTTTAAACAATTTTTCAGTGCAGTAAAAAAAATTTTTTTTTTCATTTCTTTCATACAAAGATAATTTTTAAGTTTTTAAGAACTTAAGAAATATTTTTTAAAGTAAAATATAATTCTAAAAACATTTAAATTATTATGTTATATGATAAAGAGATGAATAAAAGCAAATTCCAATTGCATGTAGCAAAAAAGTGATATACTGTATATTGCATTAAAAATATTAATAAATTTTCCAAATAGAAAAATATTTATAAAATTGCTTCATTTTTAACCTTATGTTAAATTTAAAAGATGACTTTAAACATTTCTATATATAATAAAAATTTCTTAAAATACTTTTAATTTAATGATTATTAAAACTATCATATAATTCTTATTACTTTTATTATAATTATTACATAATATTAAATTATATATATTTAAATAAATACCTATTAAGTAAGGATGTGATAAAATTTGTATTTTTGTTATTCTTGCCTTGTATTCAAGTTGTATAATTACTTCTTGTGGGTAAGGACAAAATCTAAAATATTTTGAAAAAAAATATATACATATATAAATATAAATTTATAACATTAGATTATGTAAGGCTTGCCATAGTTTAGAAGAGGAAAAATAAGATTTATAAATCAGTATATCAAATATTGGTTTCTTCATAAATAAAGTTAAAAAAGATTTGTATAACATTAAAATGAAAGCTTTTTTTAGAAAATATGCATTATATGACTATTATCGATTATAAAAGCCATAGATATTTTAATTTTAAAATTTTTAACTGAAAAAAAAAAATGTTAATATAAGAATTTTGAATTTTATATATTCACTAGCTGCAAGGACCCTCTTCGCTGGGTTTTTATTTGTGGGCAAAAAGTAACGATAGTGAAGATTAAGATAATTACATTATAACCAATCTTACCCATTTTCACAGAATGCAAGAATTAGGTCCCCCGTTTCCAGACTAATTAGAGAATTTTTACATCCAGTCAAACAAACTATTTTCAATTTGATCAATTTTCTGGAACATTTACAATCGTTCTATAATTGAACCAATTCAAATTCGAAAATTTTTAAAATCGAAATAGAAAATCTTCCACTTTCAACCACTTTCAAGCCCATATCTCCCGCACCCTTATAGCTATCGAGATGCAACCACNGGGCGGTTTATTAGCTGTTATAATGCTTTGAAAATTATATATTTGCTCCATTTTATTTAAAATGAAAATAATTTTTCTGGATTAAATCTATATTTAAACTTTATTTTTAAACTCTATTTTTATCTTTACATATCAAAACTTTCAACTTTATGTTGGAAATTTTACTTTCAAATAATCACAAAATGTTTATTTGACCATATTTATGAACCTATATCATGGGTGCTGCATTATCTATATCATTATAATCTATGGCGTGCATTTCCAAAGTGGAATGTTGGGATAAATCATTTGGCATGTATGGCATGTAACGTATCCTATGAATTCAGTTTATCATCTTTCTTTTTCAATCAGCCTTTCAGTTTGTCACTTGATTATTTTTTTTTTCAATTAGCTTTTTTATGTTTGTTCTAATTAAAGAATATTTACTTCATTTCTTTTAATATTGTTTTTCAAGTTCTAAAATTTTGGTGAACACAAACGTTTTTAAAGATGCTTACTATGTGGCATGAGGATTCAAAAAAGTTTGCCATCCCTGCTATATGGGCTTATAAATATGGCTGAAAAACATTTTGTGATGATTATAAATAATTATATCTGACAAGGGCTCATAAATAGGGTCAAAAAATGTTTTATGACAATTGTAAATAAAAACACCTGATGAGTGTTCATAAATAGGACCAAAAAACATTTTGTGATAATTATAATAAAATTTCCACCATAAAGGTGGAAGTCTTGATACTTAGAGAGCTGGAGAAGAATGAATAAATTTTCTTTAAATATTTGATTATTTAAGGACATTTTAAGTTTGAAATTAAAATTCTCTATAAGATAATTAAATTAATATGCTCTAATTTCTTTTCTTCATACTTTAATGACTGAGGAAAGATTATAAAACAATTTTAACTTTCATATATATGTATTATGTGTGTTTAAGGAAGACTTTTAAACACAGATTATTGATAAAAATTATCCAGTGCTTTTGCTTCTTTGTGTATTAAATTGAGGAACAGTGGGATTTTGACACTGTTTTTTTTCTTTTATCAATGGGAGAATTGCTCATGAGCATTGACAAAACAACTAATTACTGCATCTTTAATGGTAGGATTTTAGAATGGTAACGTTTTGACTTTCAATTTTCAACCTGAGGACAGTCAGTTAACTGAGTCAAAAAATTAGTATTCTTCTAAAATTCTACTGTTAGAGGTGCAGTAATTAGTCCAATAAGTTACCACAATGACTAATATATCATCTTCATTTATAAAAGAAGAAAATTAAGTTGCAATGTCACTGCCATCAACGGAAATCCATCAGAAACATCCAGAACAGGACAACAGTTTGAAGAATGTATTTGCAAATGCTGATAATTAGCTCAAATAAAGTGAAAAAATATTTTGAAATGAAATCTCAGCTTGTACCATTTTAAATTAAAATTTTACAAAGTTAAATGTTTTTAAAATAAACTATGTTAACTTTTATTTTAGCCATTTAAACTTTGAATAATTTTGTAAATAGTAAACAAATGTAGGCCTGTTATTTATATTATATATATTTTATTTATGTATTACTATGTTGCGTCAAGCTTTTTTTTTTTCTTATTAAAGTCATTATTATTTTAAATAGATTTTTACATTTATATTGTATTTTTATACTGCTTACCTATTTTATTCATCCATTAAACTAACAAAATTGTTATCTATTGATCTGTCCCATCATTCTTACCAGATAAATTTTATATACACTTTCCAGGAAACAGAGTAAAATTTCAAAAAAGTTTTATCTTATTTCTCGTCGTAAATCATCATCCTTCGATTTTTATCTTGTATAGAATTTCATAGCACAAGTATTACATTTTATGATAAATTTGCATCATTGTAAAGATATATTGATCATTCATTTTTATATTATATATCTTACTTCTGATGTTTTTAGAATAGGGTGATATTGACCCCTGGTTTTCAGATTTCCAAGTAAAAAATTTTAATGACTTCTCTTAACACATTCTATGCATATTGTTTTAAGAAATAAAATAATTTTTAAATTCTAAAAATCTTGTATAAGAAATTTATACTTTTATATAGATAAGTCTATTAATGACATTTAAAAATTTTTATTTACTGAATTTCTTATCATTATAATTATTCTGTTTTTATTTTATTAAGAATTGAGCAATGGGAATTTTCAATAGCAAGGAATGGAATGATATGCTAGAAGTGACCAATTCAAATCCCTCTAATTCTACTGTCACACCTAACAAGTACTTCATTGGTATTGATCCACGTTCTCCATCTGAAGGATTTGACAGAACACCTATACAGGTATTTAAAATAAGAGGATTTTAATATTTGATTGACAAAAGCATTCTATCTTTATATTCAAATTATATCTACAAAGTTTAAGGTTGAAAGATGTCAAATTTTATTTTATTTTTTTCCTTATTGTGGATTACAAATAATATCAACATACAGCTCACATTATTACATATTCTTGTTTTCTATAATGGTTGAATGTGGTTAAAGTTTTTGAAAATATTTTTATATTTTTTATAAAAATAAGATCTATTAATGATAGAAAAAGTTAGATAACTTACATTATGACTGTGCAAAAACATATAGCATGATATATAATTACTTACAAAACTTTTATTATACCATCATATTCTAAGTCTGCTTCTTCTTTTATTGAAACATTATTTATGAAAAAATTTAACATTCAATGTTTGTTTTAACCCAAAGTTCACAGACCATGAACCATGTGGTCTGCAAACTAACCTAATCATTTTTCTAAAATGAATTCTATGCTGTTCAGCCAGAGAAAAGAACATTCTCACACATTTCAGTAGGCTCACCAACATCTGGCCCAATCAACCATACTATAAAGTTTTTATGTAAACAAAAAATATGAAATACAGTGGGTGATTGGTTAACGAACATGATCTGTTCCATGACTTTGTTCGTTAATCGATTATCAATTTACCATAGATTTTTATGGGAATTTGATTAATTCGTTCTGGAGACTCCAAAAAATAAAAAAATATATACTTTTTTTATTTTTTGGATACAGGTAACCCCCGTATAACACAGCACTTCTATAGCACAAATTCACTCTAACACGGTTTGAGAATTGGGACCATCCCCGTATAACATGGTACTGTTATAGCACGGATTCACTCTGACACGGTTCGAGAATTGGGTAAAACGCTCGTACAACGTGAAATGTAATAAATATTTACATACTTATATACTAATAGTTCACAAAAATTATTATTTTCGTGTACTATTAGTACTTAAGTATGTAAATTTTCTTTTCTTGCCTTCTGTCCATACACATGGTCCTTCTCAAAACTTGCTTCAATGTTGCCAGGTCTCGACGCTTCTGCTTTTGATGTTGCCAGATGTTTTTCCCTTATTCCATACTTGCTTTATTCTTCATAAGTGCTTAGCATCATATAAGGAAATTTATAAAGATCTTTTAACTAGAAGCAAGCAATCTAAAATTACATACTTTTTGCAAAAGGTAAAGCAGAAAAATGCAGATAATGCAGAAAAATGCTCAGAGGATAAGGATAACTTGCCAAAAAGAAAATGCTCTCGGTTAATAGTGCTTTTAGTGATGATGAAGAAAACATTGTTTAATTTAAATAAAGATATTTATCTTAATTATGAAAATATAATAGCATGTTTTTTAATTTTTGGAATCTAACCTTTCTTTTCGTACTAGTTCTTTGTTTCGTATAACATGGATTCACATAACACGGCAATTTTTTGGAACGTAACTCCCGTGTTATACGGGAGTTACCTGTATTTTATTTTTATATTTTTTATTTATTATGTTTATTTATATGTAATAGTAAAAATACACATATATGCAATCTTGCATTTTATTAGTCATGTTTTTTTCATTTGTGGGGTTAAAGAATCTGTCCAATGTTGATTGCTTTTCTCTCTTCTTCAAGATTTTTCTGAAGTAATTAATAGCATTGTAATTGTAGATATCCCTAAGCCTATTAACAGTCATCCTGATTTGGATGCCATTCTAAGACCGTCATTCTGACATCATCCCACTTCAAAAAAAGTGTTTAATAGCAGATATCAACATTAATTCTCTTTTTCAGAAGAAAACATATCTCATCAAATTTCTTGGTGTTCTTCATTCAAGAGTTCTTGGCGTTCTTCTGTCATCAGATCAATTTCAGGTTCCATTACGAGCTCTTCAATGTTATTTATTTCTCAGATGTGATTTTTGTTACTCCTTTAGCTGCTTGAGTTGATACTTGATTACACTGTATTTTTCTTAGAGAAGATTGAACTGCGGCCTACTGTAGACCTGTTCAAGCCATACTGCCCAGCAACAACAGACATCAGACATCTGCCCACTCTCTACCTGTGATATTATACTCTCATCTTTCGAAAATAAAAACCGACGCAAAACTTAACGAGTGCCCCGCCCGACAGTCTCGTGAATACTATAAAAAAATTGTTTCTGTCAGAAAAATAAAAGGCTGGAATTACAAAGGAGAGTTTCAAAGTTTGGAGGAATACTATCTGATCAGTATATACCGGGTTGAGCGTTGATGTCAACGTCTCCCGCACTCCAAAAAGTTTCAAATTGTTGTCTGAAGACAAGGAAAGACCAATCGGTATTCATTATTTTACATCACTTCTTGTGTTTGTTCTGTGAGGTTCGAAAAAGATTTTTATGTTCTTGTCCAAACATAAAAATCTTTCGCGAAAGTGTTTATCTAATTTGTTCATTAACTGATCACCCACTGTAATAGTATTTATTTTACAGGACAGTATTATTAAGTACAGTAATAATAATGTGTTACAATCATTTTCATAAAACATGCAGTTATTCTATGGATAATACTTCACAGTCTTGGATAATACTTGCAGGCATCTGGCTTGTTTTTGCTGAAAATTTTCTTTAAAATGTCGTCACATACTGTACTGTAAAAATTACAATCAAAAAATAAATCACATAAGCGATACACTGAAATGCCTTATCATCAGTCTCCATGTTATCTGGCTCAGATGTCTACCAAATTAAGCCATATAATTGTGAGTCTACTGTACATGTCTCTTACATTAGGTTACTGGATAGACAAAATATTTTGGTACCAAATCTAACATTACCTAAAGTTATATTTACAGGATAAGTAGTGGGTAGGTGGTGCATTATTTATTTGTGATTCAATTTGTGAGCTGCAAATCAAAAACTTTGAAAACCATTGTTCTAACTTAGTCTTAATGATAGTTCATTATATGTAATCAATTTTTGTATTGTTGAATATAGGTAGAACAAACTCCTACATGTAATAAAGAAAAGTTAACTTTACCGGCTTTGGAAAAAATAAAGAGAGAATCCTATTACCATAATAAAGAAAATTTTAACTTGTCAGAAGATCCTAGATCTCCTTCAATCAATGTAACTAGAACTCCAATAGAAGAAAATCCAGGCAAGTTAAAAAAAAATTATAGTTTAATATAAATTTTTGTTTAAATTTATTATTTTTTTTAATTGTGATTTATTATCAATAACAACACAATTTTTTAATATCAAAAATAAATAATAATGATATTGATACAACCCAAACAGTTTTTTAATGATCAGACTGTATTAATAACAATAAAACTGCTACTTGTTTTAGTACTTGATTAGTTTCTTTTGTTGGAAATATTTAACAGAATTAATTAAAGTTATGGAGTTATCTGAAGTTCATTTGCATTTTAGATTTACCATTTCCATATTGTTATTAGAATCCTAATTATTTGAGATAACGTGAACTTCAAGACACCTCAGATAATATGGAATATTTGACACAAAATGCTGTAATAAAATGCAAGAATATTATTTTAAAATCAAATTTTTGACAATTACAATTAAAATTTGTTTAAACTTCTTAAAATTCATATCATCTTGAGAAATCATTAGAGTAAATTATTTGTAAAACTTCTAGATCTTCTTTTGAGCATCAAACATTATCCAAACAAGATTTGTGAAACAAATGGTACTGTAGTATGTTCTCTAGTCTTTTATGGAAAAAGTACTCATCTATAATTCATATTGGTTAAATCAGTGGTTCCCAACCTTTTTTCATTAGCGTACCCCGTGACATGTCATATCTCTAGATTGTACCCCGTGACATGTCATATCTCTAGATTGTACCCCGTGACATGTCATATCTCTAGATTGTACCCCTCATTTAAGAAATTTAGTGAGTAACCGTATTGTTAATTTTACATATTGTAACTTTAAATTAAAGAAAAAAAAAAAACTAAAAGAAAAAATGTATAATAAAGTTGTGATTGTTTCAAGGAACATTATTTATCTAATAATTTTTTAATACTATTAGTTTGTGATACATAATATATTATTTTTTCTGCCATAATAACTAACTTTTTTCTGTACCCCTAAACAACCTATCGCGTACCCCTAGGGGTACGCGTACCACAGGTTGGGAATCGCTG